GCAAGTATTGTGATTACATTTTCTTATTAATTCAAAAAGCATTAAAAAATAACATAATTCTGGTGGCCAGATCGTTACGTCATATTTTAGAGAAAAAAACAAGAAGTCCCCAAAGTCCAAAACGTAAACTAAGGTAGCATTCAATATTCCTAAGAGCATGACGGAACCGGATTTTCATTATTTTGAGCTTAAGAATTTATAAAATCATAGGTTTCGATCGCTATGTATCGTTATGAAACACACGAGAACTAAGTCAAAGATCGTACGTAATGTACAACCTTTGACTGAGCAAATGCTTTCCAATGCCAGTTACGTAAGCGGCCGTAAGCGTCCGCTGTTCAGTTTTGGTTCAAATTGTGATGAATGCAAACGGCAATCCCTAAAGCAGTAGGCTTTTTTATTTTGTATTTTTTAAAAATAGTTTTTGTACTTTTAAACTTTTTTCTGGGGCATTGGGTAGATAATTTTTGTTTCGTGAGTGTCAAGCGAATGTTGGTGATACAGTGTTTATATGGAATGTCGCTTGGGTGTGTCCTTGAGCAACATACGATTAAACTTTCTGTAATACTGCACCCTGCACAGTGGCGACCAGCAATGGTGTGAGCGCCTGCGTTCCTGAATATGGTGTTGATTATTTGTGCGTGTATGAAGCGCGTGTCTAAAAGAAGAGGACACAATTATAGGAAAAGAATAATTTATTTGAAACTTATTCTGGTATTGCCAAACTCAGTAGAGGCGGTTGCTGCTAACACCAGATGAAATATGTGAGGCTGCGTGGAGGAATCAGGCTCTCGTCAAAATAATCAAAGTGAAGAAACATGCATTTTTCCAAGGGTTTGTGAATTTTAATCATTTTTTTGTTTTTTTTTACTCAACATCTTTCATGTCCATTAAAGAACTTATTTCTGTGTGGATTTTCCAGAAAAGCGTTGATTAAAGTCTCAAAAATGTAAATTTTCAGTTACCATGGACAGAAAACAAGTGACCCCACCTCCTTCTTTCGCAAATATCTCGACTTGTATTTAAGATAAATGTACTTTTTTTTCCACCCAAATAAAGACAAGTGAATACGCTTTAAGTTGATACCAAAAACTCTAAATGCCCAAAAATTGACGAGAGCCTGATTCCACCACGCTGCCTCACATATGTTCCTGGTGTTGACCATAATTCCTCTCCAAAACAAGACCGAATATGCTGTTGGAAATTTGGAATAACGCTGAACATGTTTCTGCCTCAGTTGTATGGACATCCTGTTCCAAATTGACCTTAACTGTTCTGTCGTCAGTGGGTTGTTTCCATAAATTATGTTTTCCCAAACAAAACAAAACACAAAACTAAACTAAGCAGATGAATTTTAAAAAACCCTCAAAACCTTGCACTATGAATGCCTGAGAAAGAGAGAAAGCCAGAGGGGGTGTGCAATACATTCACACAGAGAGATAGACAGACAGACAGACAGACCTAGCTTTTTTAGGCATTTCAAGCTAATTCAAATTTGGCTACATATTTTAATCGTAGGGTTATAACTATAGTCAACAACAGCTGTGTGATCTATAAATAGATTCGATGACACAGACACAAGTAGCCAGACGAATCACGTGCATTAGCCGGCTCACTCACACGTGCTTTGAATACGAGGTAAAGGTAACATTGTGCTACCTCTGATGTGTGAGTGCCGGAGGTAAAATCGGGTGGTAAAGGATGGTTGGTGTGTGTGTGTGTGTGTGTGTGTGTGTGTGTGTGTGTGTGTGTTTGAGTGTGTGTGCGGAGGGAGGGGGATGAGGGAAGGGAGTGGAGAGGTTAAAATGTTACTATGTCTGGGCTTTGGTTCTTGGTGTAAATCTGGCATCCGAAGAGATCAGGGCACAATAGGTCACCATGTTTATATCTCTCTCAATCTCTCTTTGTTTGTCTCTCTGTCTCTTATTTCTTGTTTATCTATTTGTCTGTTTCTTCGTCAGTCTGTCTGTCTGTCTGTCTGTCTGTCTGTCTGTCTGTCTGTCTGTCTGTCTGTCTGTCTCTATTTCTCTCTCTCTCTTTCTCTCTCTTTCCCTCTTCGGTTCCCTCGACAAGAGTACATGTAGGCTTTGGCCGCCACCTGGTCAAAATTCAAAATTAATTCCTACCCAAACTGAAAATACTCTAGTCAGTCTAAAATCTTGCGGTGCACCTTCGAAATTGGAATATGGTTGCCTGACCTCATGGCAAGGGGCCCTACTGAGTAGAAAAAAAGGTCACATATACACAAATGAGTTGCAATGCAGGTTGAAGAACCAATAGTCGACTACTCCTCAGATCTAGCAGAGATGAAAAAGAAATAGTAAGACACACCCTTACATCTTCTTTGATAACAAATGCAATGATGATGCATTTCCATTTAGAGTATATCAAGAGGGTCAATCAAAATCAGAAAGGAGGAAAATAGTACTTAGGCAGGACTACCGCCTATATGTAAAGCTGTTTCATCTATACTTAAAATGCTTTAAGAACGTCTGCCATGACTCCAAAGGCCATCATATATCACTTTTATACTTGTACAGATTTGTCTCTCACTAATATTCACCCACAGACACAAAAATTCACTCACTCATGCTCACAGATACACACTAATACATTTTGGCGCACATTCACATAATAATATACACACTCATACCAACAAATCTATAAACGAACGCATAACCGCCTTCAGACACATTACACTCTTCCCTGCTCCCTGAAATATCCCCAACAGCATTTAAGCATCTTTCCCTGAGCTACCCTTTCCTCCCTAAATTCAAATTAAGCGCCATTATTCTCCTCCCTCCCCCCTCTCTCTCTCTCTCTTTCTCTCTCTCTCTCTCTCTTTCTCTCTCTCTCTCTCTCTCTTTCCATTTTCCAGTTCACTATCTGTCCTCACCACTCTTTCTGTCTAATTCCATACCCCCACCCAATCATCTCTATCTATTTTTTCTACCTCTCTTTCTTCAAAACTTTCGATCTATCCTTGTCTCTCCGTCTGTCTGTCTATTTGTCTGTCTGTCTGTCTGTCTGTCTGTCTGTCTGTCTGTCTGTCTGTCTGTCTGTCTGTCTGTTTGTCTGTCTGTCTGTCTCTCTCTGTCTCTCTCTCTCTCTCTCTAGCTCTCTATCT